CCAGCAAAACGCTTGGAAATGAAGGAATGGGTTGCACCAGAATCAAACAATATTACTGCCGGTGTCGAGTTGACGGGGAATGTGCCCAATATAACCTCTGGTGCTGACGGTTTATTTTGTTACCGTGCTCCTCCTGACGGATAGCCTTATCCACCAGCTTCTCAAAGTCCTCATAATCTCTAGAGATCAACTGGTTAGTCAATTCATCATCAAGACCAGACAAAAACTTCTCCTGCCTCTCGGCATCGGTACGCACGTCGTCAGGGGCGTAGCGCGCGAGGCGGTTGAACTCATGCAAATACTCTATAACTGTTCTGGTTCCTTGTTGCAGGGAACGGAACTCTCTCTTCTTTTGTGCCACAATTCCCTCGGGAACCTGTGCTTTATTGAAACTATGACGAAACTCTGTCCAAGTAACCTTTGCCCCAGCTGGACGGGTCACCATGTAGTTGTCCCACCAAATAGAAGCGGGACCTTGTAGCTGGTGTGTAGCAAAAGCAACCTTCTCCTGCTCGTTGCATTGCAAAAGATTCAGCTTCTTCTCAATGGCATGAAGCCAGTCGTAGGCCTCGATTGGGTTGGTGGTGCTTGAGAAGGTGGGCGGCTTGACACGAAGAAATTCTAACAGTTTGGACTGAGGAGGTGGAGGACCAAACTGCAGGTTCTGCTGCTGCAGCTGTGCTTGCTGCTGCACCTGCTGCAACACCTGATGGTACTGTTGCTGCATCTGTTGCATCATCATTGTCATCATCTGAGTCTGATTGTCCAACACCTGAGCAATTGTTGGGTTCTCGGGCGGTGGGGACGGACTGTTGTCAGATGCACCGTTGGCACGTGCTCCATTGATCGGCTCTTCGCTGCCACTGGCGTTGTTCGAGTCGCGTGAACCATTCCTTATCTCCATCTGAAGGGGATAGGTAGAAATATGAGAAAAGGAAGAAAAACAGGGGGCTCAGAAACTAATCTTGCTTATGAATTTAAGTGCAATTATCTTAATCTTGATTAAAACACTGAAAAAGAGGCACGCAACTCCTAATTGAGGCAGTCATACCACTGACACATGATATCGACCGCCGACTAACCCACAAGCAACAAACCTAAACACGAAAACTAGCAAGCAAACAGACTAAGAAGGCGATAAAGCTAAGGGCGGCGACTCTGAAGCTCGGGGCGGCGCTTGCAAACGAGGGATAGGACTGACATCTAAAGTAGACAAGGGATAGGAACCAATTCATGCTCAAATCCAAATTAAACAAAGCAAAAGAAGACTCAAATAAATAACCGAGCATGATGATTTTTATGCATAGAACATTTTTCATGAACTCAAATAAAGACACTAATGCAACTAAACAATAAATTAATGCATAGACTAGTTGCATGGAAAATGATGCGCAACATTGCCCCATCGAACATAGACACGACCTAATGCATAACCCCCAATAGATTCCCGACTGACTGTCGAATAAACTCCAACTAGATTTTGTTTTTTTCTAAAACCCTACACTGAGCTAATTTTTAAAAATCCGATCCGAATGAACGACCAAGATTTTTCCCACAAGCCAAAGAGGCAAAACTCTAAATTTTCCCAAAACAATTCCAGGTGCAAAAAGGCATATGCAGATGAAAAAGGGGTTCAGAGGGCTCTTAGGGTTTCCAGTTGGCTTGTCCTACGGTCAAGGTCGGCTCTGATACCAACTTGTCACGCCCAGAAATTCTCAAACCAGAATTTCTAAGCTGAATGTGCATTAAATCCCTGTCCAGGACCAGCCAGGGTACACAGACGACAATTGTTGACATCCAGATCCACGTCTTACAAAAATAGAAAAGATTACAAATGCAGCGGAAAAGATAAAAGCGAGCTAAACCGGGAAGCTTGACTTCAGCAGCGAGCGGCTCCACTCCACAGGCAATCCTTGACGGCAGCGACGAAACCAACTTTGACAAAACAGCTCCAACTAGGAAGATCTTCAGCTCTGGTGTGGGGGAAAAGAGAGCAAGACTGAGTACTACCCACTGTACTCAGCAAGTCATACCGGAAGAGGAGGTATGATGCAGGATATAACCAAAGGAAGCTAGGGGTTCTTTTGCATAAAGCAGGCATTTCAAAGCAGTAGTTGAAAGCAGTAAAACAGTTGTAGTAATTAATCAATATTAACCAAACACTGTCCAACGCTACACCACGTTGCAACAGGCCCAACCAACCACCTGAACTACACCAGTTCATTAAGCTAAACTAGGGGTGAGACTAATCACGGTGAATCTGGTTGATCGCCCATAACCGCGGGCACGACTATTCGAATAGTTTTACTCTGGCCAGAGGTGTACAACTGTATCCACAAGACACGATTCCACACATGTCGCCATGCCCCGAAGTATCACCATGATACTGCAAAGGGGGAAATCGTGACAAGACCCTCCACATAACCCTCCCCTAACCATCCACACCACGCTAAGGTTTCACCCCCACCCCTCAAAAGGCAGTGGGCGGTCCCCTCTTGCGCCGCGGTGAATCCGGCAGCTGGACAACCGGACACCCCGGCCGACCCAACTCCATCACGCCCACCCTCGCCACCGGTGCCTAGGAAAGGGTCGAGCTATACTTCAGATCAAGCAGTTACCCACTCCCGCTTGTGGTAAGCACGGTGAGTCTCCCAGGGTTTCCCGTGAACCGGTCCTTAATTGCCATGGGTGCGTCCAGCAAAACCATGCACCCACAGCCCACCATTCAGTGTATTTTAATTAACTAACACCATTGCGGTGGCACCAATCTAAAGCTATGCCAATAGACGAAGTCTATGTAATAATGTGATCCCTTTTTGTGTACTAGTTGAGCTAAGCATGGCTAAGCATTTCCTAAACCAACATCTAATCATTTTGATACCCAGGTTATCAATGGCATATGGTAAACAATAAATGGCTGAGTAATAGGACCCATCCCTCATTACATTGTAAAAGAATGCAACATTTAATAGAAATGCGGGATATTGGTAAATTGGGTACAATATGATCAAACGTATTGCATGACTTGCCTTGCTCTCGAACTGATGAGACCTTAGCAACGTCTTCGAGAAACTGCGGATCGACGAAACGGCCGAAACCTACGCGACAAACAAAGCACACAAGCAAAACATGGTATAAGACTACAGAAACAGGAAACAAAACCATTTTTAATGGATTCTTTGCATTTTTCTTGATTTACTGAGACTTGAATGGACTTAAACGGAGCTCGGATGAATTACTTATGATTTTTAGAAGATAAACTGTGTTTTTACTAATAAAGAAAAGTCCTTAATCAATTTATTGCGCAATAAAGCCCAGGGCTGACGTCAGCAAAGGGGGGGGGGGCGGCGCCGACAGGCGGGGCCCACGGGTCAGCGGTTCAAGAGAGGGGAGAGAGAGGCGCCGGCAAGCGGGCCCACTGGGCAGCGGCTCAAAGGGGAGGGGTGGTCCACCGGCTGGTGGGCCCCACCGGGCAGCGGCACAGGGCGGGAGAGGGGCGTGGCTGCTGGCTTGGCACGGCTCAAGCCGGCCGGCCATGGCGAGGCGACGACGGCGCACGACCGCCGGCGGTGCGGGGAGACGGCAGCGGACGGCGCGAAAGGCGGCGGCGGACGGCCGGAGCGGCGGCACGGCCAAAGGCGGCGGCGCACGCGTGAATGGGAGAAAAGGGAGGGGGAGGGAGGCATCGGCCGGGCTCAGCTCGGCCTCAAGGCCGACCGGGGCGAGTCGGCGACGAGGCACGACCACCGACGGCGGGGACCGGCGGCGCAAGAAGCGGCGGCGACGGCCGAAAGGTGGCGGCGCATGGCCGAAGCGCGGCGATGCACGTGCGGAGGGCGGCGGCATGCACGGGAGAGAGAGTAAAGAAAGAAGGAGAGAGAGGTAGTCCTCACCGGCGATGTGGGGGAATCGGGGTCCGGCGGCGGCGGACGGAAAGCGAGCGGCGGCCGAGGTAGCTCTCGCGGCGGCGAATCTAGCGGCGGTGATTGCGCGGCGAGGCGATGGCTCTAGCGACGGCAGCGTGCGGCCGGAGGCGGCGGCAAGCGGTGGCGCTAGCGGTGAGCGGCGCGGGCTCGTTAGGAGACACGGGAGGGGACGGCAAATGGGGGAAACGAGAGAGGGAGCTCGGGAGAGTGATTTAATGGGCGAGGGAGGGGAGGACGTGGCCGGGAACCCTCCCGATTTAGCCGGCGACGTGGGGAGGAGAGAGAGAAAGAGGGGTGGGATTCGAAATCGAATCCCGCCCTCTCGAGCGCGTGCGCGGGCCGGGAGATGCGGGGGAAGAGGCGGCGACGTGGGGAGGACGCGGGAGCGGCGCGGCGTGGGCGCGGGAAGAGCGGAGGAGGCGGCGGCGTGGCGGATTCGGCGGCGGTTGCCGTCGGAGGCGGGTGGCTAGAGGAAGGGGACGACCTGACAGGTGGGCCCCACCTGTCAGCGTCCCGGAGAGAGGGGGAAAGGGAACGGGCCGGCCCACAAGGGGAGGCCGAGCGCGGGCGACGGGTGGACTGGGCCGACGGCCCAAGAAGAGGAAAAAGGAGGAAAAAGAAAAAGAAGAAAGGATTTTCCTGGGATTAAAATTGCACTTTGGTGATTTTTAATTGGTTAAAATTATTTCCAAGGCTCTGAAAATTCCACTAAAAATCCTGTTAGCTTATTTTGGCATGTAGAATCCAAGAAAAATTCCACATGTTGATTCCGATTATTATTTGCATTTATTAATTAAGGAATTCAGCTCTAGGTTAATTAAGATAATTTCTTCGGGCAATTTATTTAACCAATTTTTAAAGCAAGAAAGGGGGAAATTTCTGGGCGTGACACTTGAGCAGCTTCTGCACTTTGGCCTTTGCTGCCACTTGGCGATCGGCGGACATCTTGCACAGCTACTGTTTCCTTGGCTTGTCATCCGGCTTGACCGCCAGATGGTGCATGATGAGGTCCGTCAAAACACCTCCTACTTCGTCGGGGCTCCAGGCGAAGATGTCAATGTTCTTCTTGAGCACCTCAAGGATGTTTTCGGCTTCCTCTTTGCCCAGATCGCCCCCAGCAAGACAAGCTTTGTGGGATCGGCGTCGTCGATCTGCATCTTGATCACCTTGCCATGAGGGGCGGGCTTCGGCATGCGTTTAGCATGGTCATGTGGTTCAGCCTCAACATTGTGCACTGCTCTGTTGATTGCGGCCAGATCGCCCTTTTATGCAACCGAAGGTTGAAGCCCCTTGATGACGATCGGACCCGGCATCTTGAGCTTGAGATAATTGTGGTGGGAGATGGCATCGAACTTGTTCAAGGTTGTGCGGCAGAAGATGGCATTGTAGTTATATGGGATGTCGACGGCATCGAACAGTATTTGCTCTTTGCGCCTGTTCTCACTTGTGCCGAAAGCTACCACCAGTTGTACTTGGCCCAAGACTTGAACTGCTTCGCCGCCAAAACCACGAAGTGAGGCCGGTGCCTGGGTGAGGGCTAGGGTTGGCAACCCCATCTTGGCGTATGCTTCGGCAAAGATGACATCGGCCGAGCTTCCCCCGTCAACCAGGATTCGCCGGACTTCGAAGCCAGCTACCTCGGCCGAGATCACCAAGGGGTCTTGATGTGGGAACAGCACCCCTTCGGCGTCCTCAGGCCCGAAAGAGATTTGCTGGTTCAAGTACCTCGGAGCCCTGTCGCCTGCAGCGGTGATGTTGTGCACCGTTCGCAGCTGCATCTTCTTCTGCCGCTTCGACTGTTGGACTGGCGGATCGGCCCTTGTAATCACTTGAATTACTTTGCGCTGGACGTCGTGGCACTGTTCGGCTGGGGGTGCTTGTTCTTGAGCGGCTTCGTGAGGTGCTTCGACAGCAGCCCCTTGTTGCGGCCTTGGGTCTTGAGCATTGCCATGCTGCCGAATGTTTCGGCATTGCTCGGTGGTGTGCGAGGATCACCCGTGGTATGCGCAATACAAGTCCTTCCTGACTTTCTTGAGAATAGGTGCTGATGACTGCCTGCTTGCTGAGCGTCGAACTCTTTGCGGAGGGCTTGGACCTCTTTGACAGCCATCACAGCCTTGCCCGTGCAGTCATTTCTGAATTTCGTCCAAGTCATGGGAGTTTGATTTGATCTTGGCGGCAGCCCCTGGTTCACCGACTGAGTTTGGCGAACGGTAAGAGGGGCCGGTTTGGCTACCTGCGCTTGAACTTGGGCTTGGGCAGCAGCGATAGAGGCTTTATCGTACTCGGCTTGGATTGCTTGCCGTCGCTTGGAATCCTCTTTGCCTCTTGCGTACCCATCAATGATGCGAAGCAGGTGCTCGAGAGTTTGCGGCTCCTTGTTGGCGATTTTCCCTGTGAGTTCGCCTTCAAGCAGCCCGGCCGAAGCGGCGTTGATGACAGATGCTTCGGTTATGTCTTAAACTTGGCACCGGGCTTGCGAGAAACGACGCATGAACTCTCGTATCGATTCCCCAGGCCTCTGGCGAATGCCGAGCAGATGTTGCTGCGTCTTCGGCTCATCATAGGTATCTCAAAAGTTAAGGACAAAGACATCGTGCAATTGCTCCCATGAGTAAATACTATTGGCTGGTAAATTGAAGTACCAAGAACGGGCGATGCCATCTAGAGCGAGATGGATTACCTTTGCCTTGGTGTTTTCATCGCCGTGAGCGGCTTCGATCGCGGACTCGTAAATGGACAGAAACTCTTTTGGGTTCGTTTCGCCCGAGTACCGCGGAACGAGTGGGAACTTGAACTGGGGTGGGATTGGATGATTCTTTTGGAACCATTTCCACCATATATCACACACACATTGTACGATCTTGATCTTGAGTATGTTTAGTTATATGCTTTAGTCTAAGTTTTAGACTTAGTAATAAATGTGAATGCAAGTATGCCATGTTTGATCCCTATTGAGCTCTACATATTAAAACCTTAGAGTAGGAATCAAAAAGGCAAATTGGTGAGGAATCCATTTTGATACACTTCGAGAGACTGAGTAAATCAATTGAGGAACTTGGCTTTCTTTTTCAAAATCATTTGAAAACTTCCAGAATAAGAGTTGAATAAAGATTGGGTGATTGGTTCTCTAATTGCTGTTCTATCTTTCAATCGCTCAAGGCAAGGAAAAGCAGTGTCTCATGGGAATCAGGGGTAAGGGTAAGCCACCGTGCCAAAGAATATTTAATCTGAGAGAGAGTACATATACCTTGCACCTCTGTCTTCGAGATATGCAACATAGTAGCAACTCCTGATCAATAAAAAAGTCTTTGTTTCCTTTCATCCTTCACTCGAGACGAGCAAAAGTTCAAGCTTGGGGGGTTTTGTTGACGGTCGTTATCGATCAGTTTCGACCATCAATATTACCAAAATAGAGAAGAACTAGTAATGCTTGCAATGCATATATTGATTAGAATAATAATATTCCACTAGTATTAGGTATACTAACCTTTTGCAGAGAATGACAATAAAGTGGAGGAGAATCGACATCAACTCAGACGATAAATCAATCGGACGGTGTCGAGAACTAAACTTATGTATGAATGGGCCAAGAACTCAGAAATAACACGAAGGAGGACAATAAAGGAGGCTACCGGCCGAAGATGGGCTGGGTTGGGCCAGCCCATGGTTCGGTCGAACCATAGGGTTCGGCCGAACCTCCCGTGGCGCCGATGGATGCAGGGTTTGGATGGATGGCTGGATTTGATCCCCCGTGACGGTTGGAGGGTATTACCGACCATTCCAACCGTCACAACCGTCATTATCTGCCTATAAAAGGAGCTCCTCTTCTCACTTCACTCACACACCTCAAGCAATAGCTCTCTCATTTCTCTCAAGTTTAGTTTAGTAGTATCTAGCTGGTGGAATAGGAATAGAGCAGAAATCAGGAGTCCGGAATCCTTCGGAAGAGTTCGGGTATGGCTCTAGTAGCTTTTCTCTTCTCTTTTGTAAGCTTTGTACTTTTATTAGAATACTCTTCTAAATATATTTATGGTATTGAAATACTTTCCGAGTATATGAGTGCCTACTTTACATTATGTTCATGTTATACTGAATATACAGCTAGCTTATCTGGGAGATGCTTTGGTGCGGGTATAGTGTTTGCTTATGCAATTACTCTATGTCATGACGATGATATTAGAGTAGTATCTGGTAGTATAGACGTGGTGTCTAGATTACGGGATATCATTATTTGGGGTTATATATTACGGATGAGAGGTGGGCCGCTGATGGTGACAGCTCAGTACGGGTATTCCTCCGCGCCGGTATATAATCCTAAGTTAATTCCCTAGGGAGGGTATTCCTCCGTATTTAGCCCCGGTTGTATGGTCATGATGGGCTGTCGTAAGGAACTCGGCGGTCAGGGGTGGCTTCTCGAAGTACCAGGAGGGCATCGGATAGAGGGTATTAGCTAGTATATCAGTTAACTAGAATGTATGTATAATATGTATACTAGAAGTATAGGAATAGATTATCCTCCTCTTTTCTTTCCACTTAACTTAGATAATATATTATGAGAATGAGTAGTTAATGATTGTGTGTCACTCTACCCTTGGATTATCTTAACCCCTGCTTTTAATATGATTATCACAAGCAATATATAAATTATTAGTCAAGTTCTCTCTACATGATCGTTCCACGGGATAAAATAAATACGATACCCTTGGAATACTCTCGGGTGAAATACTACAATGGTATATCCATGCGCTTGCGGATGAACTTTGTAACCATAATATACCAGAAGTATTTCTGCGCCGTTGTTGGGAATTATATTTCTAGTAATGTCGTTAAAAAATACCAACACAAACTATGGTGCACTCGTTGGATAACAAATAATTTCTTAACTTTGTGCAAGAAAAATATAAACACAAACATAATTTCTCCACTGGAGAATACCTTGTCTCTGCATCTTGAAGCCTCCTGCTTAAATAAAAAATCACCCTTTCTTTGCCTTCCAACTCCTGGATCAAAACTGAACCGATTGACCTCTCATTTGCTAATAGATATAATTTAAAAGGTTCTCCCTTTTGTGGAGGAATTAAAACTGGGGGAGAACTTAAATATTTCTTAATATTATCCAAAGCTTTCTGCTGCTCTGCCCCCCAAGTAAACTCTTGATCGGCTTTCAACCTTAGTAAAGGTGTAAAAGGTTCTAATCTTCCAGATAGATTAGAAATAAACCTTCTAACAAAATTAACCTTGCCGATCAATGACTGCAACTGTTTCTTGTCCTCTGCAGATTGAATCTTCTTTATTGCATTAATACTCCTCTGAGTTACATCAATTCCTCTCTCATGAACAAGAAATCCTAAGAATTATCCAGCCGATACGCCAAAAGCACACTTTGTGGGATTCATTTTTAAACCATATTTCCTTGTTCTCTCAAATACTTTCCTCAAATCGGCTATTTTATCATCTACCTCTTTTGACTTGACAACCACATCATCAATATAAACTTCGACCAACAAGCCGATCAGATCATGCAATATATAATTCATGGCTCTCTGATATGTAGCTCCAACACTTTTTGAACCGAAGGTCATCACAACCCACTCATACAAGCCGATTGCACCAGGACACCAGAATGCAGTTTTATGGATATCTTCTTCTGCCATAAAAATTTGATTGTAACCAGCATTGCCATCCATAAAACTTATAATTTTATGCCCCGAAGCAGGATTAACTAATTGATCAGCAATCGGCATTGGGTACTCATCCTTAGGGGTAGCTTTGTTGAAATCTCGAAAATCAATACAAACCCGAAGCTTTCCATTCTTCTTGATTACTGGAACTATATTAGAAACCCACTCAGCATATCGGCACGGCCGAATAAAACCAGCATCATACAAATGAGTGATCTCGGCCTTGATAGCATCATACATATCGGCTTTACATCTCCTGGGTGGTTGTTGGTATGGCCGATATCCTGGTTTGATAGGAAGCCGATGTTCAACAATCGATCAGCTAAGCCCTGGCATTTCAAAATATTCTTTCAAAACCTCTATTAACTTGGTTTTAAATTCTGGAGATAAATTCTTACCGATGAATGTTGGCCTCGGTCTATCCCCTGGGCCTATATCAATTTCTTCCAAATCATCGGCCGACATAAAACTTTGTCCTAACTTGCCATCGAGATCATCTACAGTGTCCTTGGTGTAGAAATTTGAACCCTCCACGACACCCTCAAAGTAACAATTTGGGCTCTTCATCTTCAGTTGGCTGTATATCACAATCAGCACCAAGACATGCTAGGCAAAATGTCAATCGGCTGACTCAGGAGCAAGTTGCCGCAATGTTTCTGCCAAATCCGACAATAGCCGACCCAACACAGCCGTTGCCGACTCAGCAAGCACAACCGAGGCAACAGACGGTTTAGCCGACTCAACAGCAGAACTTACAGCATGCGTCGGCAAGATTGAGAACACCTGACAATCGGCCAGGGCAACAAACTATGAACCAAGTTATTCCTAAACACTTGGTCCATCACGTACAGGTCGATCAATCAGTTGTGCCTCAGATTATCTCTAAACATTTGGTGCATAACATTCAGCCGAATTTCCAGAATTATCAAGGAGGAAATTTGAATTATCAATATCAGCCTCCATCACCTCATGTTCAGTATCAGCAGACAGGATCGCCTCAACCTCAGTACGCTCCTCAGTTTAATTAGTTTGAGCCAATACAGCAACAAACGCAAGGAGTACCTCAGCAAACATCATGGGCTGATATGATTGCA